TACAGGCTCCTGGTTCCAGACCAGAAAATGGCTGGTCCCCAGAGAAGGAGGGACTCTGGAGATGTTTAGACTCCTCCCTGCCTTTATACAGAAGGGCAACCTGAGGGCAGGAGACTTGCCCAAGTTACCCAGGTGGAGCTCAGCCTGGTGTTTCCCCATCACCAGAGCCCTGGCCCTAGCACTGGGATGGTTCTGCCCTTAGGAAGAGGAATGGACGCTCCAGGGCGTTCTGGAAACAGCTTGAAGGTATAGCAAGCACAGCCTGTAAGCCTGGAGCGGTGGGGCTGGCCTCTACACTTCAGTGGGTAGGCTCTGAACAGCTGAGTTGTTGGTCAAGGTAGCTCCCGGGCAGACTCCCATTGTCCTTGACCTGTCCTTCCCAGCATGAAGCCTGAAGACAAAGCCCTTACTAAAAAGGAAAAAAGAATCGCTTTTCTACTAAATTCCTGTAAGGCTCCTCTTCCGGTGGGACTGAAGCAGGGATGGAAAAGGCAGGCACTCAATTGTACCTCACTCTGGAAGTCCCCTGTTGTCCCCCTACAGTCCCCTGCGCCTCTGGGACTGTGAAGGACAGGGTACTGCTGCACCTTAGATTGTGAAACAGGACTGAAGTTCCCAGCCCAACGGTGTTTGTGAAGCATTCAGGGAGCAGAAGGCAGAAATGTCAGAAATTTTCCTGCCGTGGCTGTTATTAACCCCGTTTTCCCCATCCTCCATTCCAGAACCACTTAAACTCGAATCTGAATCTCAGTTCAAGAAAAACCCTGGAGAAGAGCCCAGAACCACGGAAGCCCACCCGGGCCGCGGATCTCGGTCCGGGACCCTCTGCTTCCACCCGCTTCTGGCGTTGCATCACCCGCGTCCAACACAGGGTCAGCGTTCCAGACTTAAAACGAAGTCGTTTATTTCAATTTTGCTTTCACATTATGTTTCGATACAATCAAAACTTCTGGACGAACCCCTTTAAAGTCCTGCGAATGAGTGCAATCGCAGGTCTGGGCGCCCGGATGGTTCGGCGAGTGGATCTCGGATTCAGAGGCGCTGGTACAAAATATAAGGTGCTTCGGGAGCTGCGGAGCGGATAGAGCTGGAGACATCCAGGGACAGTAGGTGCGAATACACTGTCACAAGGGGCCGGTAGAATTGGGAGTAATTCCTGATGCATTTGGAATTGAGGGTGGACAACAAACTGCTTCCAGGTCCTCAGTCACGCCTAGCAGTATCTGGGTCAGATTTCTCAGGTCTCCTTAAAGCAGGGAGCACAGGGAAGGCAGCACCGGCCTGCTGCGGGACACGCTCTGCGAAGAAACCCTTTTGCCCCGGCCTCTCTGGTTGCATCTTCCAAGCCTCCTGCTTCTCTGCCCGTCTCGGGCAGCCCAAGCCCTCAACCTCGCAACCCGGAAAATGCGAAGTTTAGAAAGCTGTTTCAGAAAAATAAAAGTCCCACTTTGACTTTATTGGATTAAAGCAAAATTAAATTTTGGCTATTCACACGTATGTTACAGAGGAAGAGGAAGCGTCCGAAGAACCTCCTTGGCGGTTGGTGGAGCCACAGAACACGGGGCATTGACAAGCATCAGAAAACAAACACCAAGCAGCCTTAGATTTCACGATCACTCCGAACAGGACAGAAATACGGAATACAGCCAGCGTCCACCGTAAGAGTTCTTCGTGTACAAATGATACATATACATATTTATGTATAGTTATACCAGTCCCCACGAAGGCGAGTCCTTCCTCCGCTAACAAGCAGCCGAGGGCAAGTCTCTCAAGCTTAACTCGCGCGGTGTTTGAAGAGCAAAACCTGTTATATTAAAACTACCTGCCCCATTCAAAAACAGAAACAGAAAACAAACTGACCCCCTCTTCAAACTGGGGGAGGGGCGCACTAAGTTTCAGTAAGTGGCAGGGTTCAGAGGGGGGTCGGGTGGGGAGAAACATTTCACATTACTTCGTTAATTGTTGGGGACATGGACGGGTAAGGAACAATGACAAGGCAGTCTCTTCCTCGATTACTGCGACTGGCTTGGGGGAGGCGAATTTATTTTTGGAAATGGGAGTGTGCAGAGCTAAACGAGATTTACTTCTCTTAGTAAGGGAGCGGACGAAGTTGGACCGCGGGCGGCGCGCACCTTTGTGCCCAGTCGTAGCTAGGAACACGTAGGAAGTTTCCGGTGGCGCCGCTTCCTCGCCCTGGTAATTTTCGGCCTCTTTTTCACTCCCCTCCTGCCTTTCTCCTGCCTCCATTCCCGTTACCGAGCCAGTCAGAGGGGAAACACGAGGAATCCAGAGAAGGTTGAGTACTTCCAGCCCCCCATCAAGTTCCCCCGCTCCAGCTTGAGGTAGGCTCGGTCGCCTTTCTCCATCTGGATGAGGACGCCGTTGCTGGCGGCCTCACGGGTCACGTCTTGGTCACCGGCGAAAGCTGAAATCACCGGCCACCCGTTCAACATGAGGCTCACCTAAGAAAGAGAAAGGCCTGCGTCAGACCCGTCACCTAAGCGCCGGGGGAGAGCCAACCCAGGTGCTTAGCTAGCTGCCGCAAAGGCCTGGGGGCACCGACCGTGCCGGGCGAAACTGGGCTTGGCGGCTCGCTGCGAAGGCTCTAACGGGGACCCGCACCGCACCTAGGCAGAGGGAGGGTCTGCCTCTCTAGAGCGGCAGCAGCGCGCCAAGCGAATCCTGTCTGGGCATAATGCAGTTTAGTAAACCCGCAGGTGGGCGTAGCGCCCTGAGACCTTTGACCTTTCGCCAGCTTGCCTGCAGCAGCTCTGCTCCCCGCGCGACCTAAACAAACAGCCGCATCCCGGGTCTCAATTGGTGGCTGTGGCCGGGACACGGGGGCGAGCGCGAGGGGCGCATAGCGGAGACGCCTTGGGATGCAGATTAAAAGCGGCCAGGAGTGGCTGTCCGGAACGCCGAGACCTGCGAAACTGCTCTAGAGCTCCCTCCCTAAGCCGCCCGCTCAATTCTCGCCCCAGATCCTGCCGCGCCAGCCATCGCCTGGTTGTGCGGTTGTGCCCTTGCGGTAGCAGCATCGGCCTAGGGCCAGCAGTCCTGTCCCCATCGCGCCTTCTGCCTCAGCGGGAGCTTTACGGTAACCCGGACATCTTTGGGGGCCTGGCGAGCGGGTGAGTGCTGGCAGGGACAGGGCTGGACCAGAAGAAAGTAGAGCCATCCCTCCCAATCCCACCTCGACCTTTCTCTGCCCACCCTTGGAGACTAGAGTTTAAAAACAAGTCTGCAAAGGAAGGGAGTAGGGTTAGAGAACGGGATTCTGTCCGAGGTGCTGAAGAAAAGCGGAAAAGCTGCCAAAGGCTTTGGGCTGCTGCAAATTGTTGAGCCTAGAAAGCCGGCGTGGAGATCTTACAGAAGCCTTAGCTGTCTGCGGAGCCAACAACCCTTACAGAAAGTCCCCGGAGTCCCTAAGGAGAACCGAGGGATCTTTACAGAAGGTCCCAGAAAGCGAAGGACAGAAAAATCTGTCTCTAGCGATGGAAATGAGTCTCAGGAACCTTGGGCAGCTTAAGGGGCAGTGCATGTCAAAAAGCCATGAGGCCCCGCTACCCGTCCCCGGAGCAGCCAGGGCGTATGCCGCTGATTTCTGCCTGGCTCTTCCGCAGAGCCTCAGACAGACCCCCACGGCCAGCAACCCCCTACTGAGAACCTGGCCCCCAGGTGGCAGCTGACCTGGATGGTCTGTCTGTTGTAGACTTTCACCACGTGGAAGTTAAAACTGTAGATCCCTTTGCGCGGGGCGATGAAAGTGCTCCGTTCTGAGTCAAAGTTGTTCCCGATGTTCACTAGTACCTATAAGGAGACAGGAACGAAAGAGGGGTAGGCCGGAGTCCATCCGAGCGTGGTCCTCTAGCCTCCGCAGAGCCCTTGGGGAGGATCCCGCATCTGACTTCCACGCTCTCCCTGTCACCCCCTCACCAATGAGTTCTGGATGCTGCAAGAGAACGAGGGAACTCACCTGGTCGAAGTAGATGATCATGGTGCGATTACTCATCTCGGACGGCTCATGGTTGGTGCTCCTGATGGCAGAGAAAGCCACCTTGGCGCTGCCCGAGCGCACGGAGATGCCCAGAGCAGTGCCCGTAGGGTCAGACGTGGGGTTGGAGTCACACACCACCAGACACTTGCCCTCCAGCACGATGGGCTCCGTCTCATTCTGCCCGCGGGCTGGGCCTGCCAGCCACGCAGCCCCCAACAGCAGCAGCTCCACGACGCCCAGCATCGCGCCGCCGGCGCCCACCCCGCCCCCACCCCGGGGGCTGCCAGCGCCAGCTGCCCCCCTCCCCAGCCCTGCTCCGAAGCCCCCTCCTCAGCTCTGTGCACAGCTCCGCCGACGCCTCCCGAGCCACTACGCCTCTCCCTCGGACTCCAGGACAAACGTCCCCTCTCGCAGTGCACCCGGAGCCCCGCCCGGGCCTCAGGGGTGCCGCGGCCGCCCAGCCGCACTTGGATGCATAGCCTCTGCTGCCTGGTCTCCGCTGTTACCGCCGCCTCCTGTCCGCACTCGCCGCTGCCGCCGCCGCCGCCGCTCTGAATTATTGATGCAGCGGGCGCTGCAGCCGGAGCGGGCAGAGAGCGCGCGCCGGGCACAAAGGCGCGGACCAAGCCTGGCCCCGCCCCCCGCCCCTCCCATCCAGCCTCCAGGAGCGGCCCCGCCCCGCCCCCGGCGAGGCCCCGCCCCCCGACCAATCGCGACGCACCGCGCTCCCCGCCGAGCCAATGGCTGCCCTGTCCGCGCGCGGCCACCTGACCCGGGGCGCCGTTGTTATTAGGCGCGGCGAGGCGGGCGGCGCGCGGCAGCGGGGCTGGGCTCGGTCCGGGAGTCGGTGGAGGGAGCGAGGGAGGGAGCGCGCGCGCGCTCCCGAACAGCCCACCTCAGCCACTCGCCCCGAGCCTCCTCCCCGGTCGCGTTGCCCGCAGCCGCCTCGACCTCCTCGCGCGCCCGGTTCGCGGGCTCTCAGGTAGGAGGTGGCGCGCGGCGGGTCGCGAGTGCAGGGTCGCCCTGGCCGCGAGGCGCCGCGCGGGTGCCGGGGTGCGGGGGACGGGCAGGAGCGCCCCCCCGTGGGCGCCGGCGCGCGGGGCAGCGGCAGCTGCAGCCGCGGGCTGGTTAAGGGCACGTACGTGCGGGGCGGGGCCTGCGTGGCGGTCCGGGGGCGCACGTGGCTCGGGCAGGACATCCTAGCGACCCGGGGTCACGCGTGGACTCGTTCTCTCGAGGGCAGGTGTGCGGGCGAGACAGGTGGACCTGGCTCCCGGACGCCGTGTGCGAAGCAAGAGCCGTAGCTTCCTCCTTGGTTCTTGGAACGTGTGCTGCGTCCGCGCCCATATGAGCTGTGCGCCTGTCCCCCGCCGCCCCCCCACGTAGACTTAAACCACACAAGTATTTGAAAACAAAATGAAAATGCATCCTCTCCCAGTGTGAGGACAGGAGCTGCGGAGGTGGGCCGGTCCCGCGCCTCGCGGCAGGAACTCAGACAGGTAAGGCCGACACCAGAGGGCCGTGGATCTTGCTTGGAATCCAGACCGAAGCGGGCGGGGCTGGTACTTGTGCGCGGCCGGAGCACACAGGAGGCCACCCGCTGCGGGAACCTTGCTGTGTGCTGCGATGCAAGCCTTGAGCTGCTGGTGCCAAGGTGGCCTCCAGGGAAGGTTGGCAGCTTTTCCCTCGCTGGCCTCCGAATTCCTATCGACTTCCTCAGCCTCCCCTGTTTCTCCGAGATCCATCCATCCTCCCTTCCTTCTTTCTTTCCTTCCTTCCTCCCTCCCTCCCTTCCTTCCTTCCTTCCTTTCCAATTTAAAGAGTTACCGGAGGAAACCCAATAGCAGACCTCCGCCTCTGTTCTTCCGCCTGCCTGTAAGTGCCGCGTGAGCAAGAGGAAAGGGGTGAACGAACAAGCAGCAGTTTCACTTTAAAAGAGGATAGTTTTCCAGCTCCTGTATTTTGAGAAATCCCCAGAAAGCACTGCCAGCTGTGGTGACGCCTAAAGTTCTCATGCTCATGCTCTGGCATGAAAAACGAGGTGCGAGCTGGATAATGAGGCGACAGCTCTAACCCTGAAAGGTGTCTGGAAAACACACCCACAGGAGCAGTAACCTAGCCTTGCCATGCCCTGGCCACTAGCAACGTTGTCGGCCGCTCCGATGACTCCTAGCACCTTCTGAGTGACGCCCAGTGCGGTGCAACCAAGGGCAAGACTTGGGGGTCAGAATTCTGTTTTCGCGGAGCGCATGAACAGGGAAGATAGCCTCCACCTAGGTGGTCGTCCCCTGTTCATCCCCTCCTCCGATGAGGCTTTGGTGACAGTGCCCACTGCTGGACTGTCAACCTGATGTCAAGGACTCCCTCATCGCTGTCTGGTCCACTTGTCAAGGCCTGCAGGCCCTCTTTGCCTGTGCATTCTGTAGACATCATTAACTGACCCGTCCTTTGTTTTCTTCCTGCCCTCAAAACTCAGCGAACAGTGGAAGAACCTCCCACATGTAACCTGTTTCCACCCCCGTGTCCTAGGCTGCTCTTTGGTTCACGATCTCTAACCTGGGTTACTTGCCAGAGCCTGGTGATGTATTGTACTATTCCCAAATCCAAGGCTCACTTCCTGCCTTACCCTCTTTATGCCGTCATTTGATGAGTGTCTGTGAAGACCTTTGACCTTCATGTCTCTCCATGTAAGTTTTCAAATCCATCATGCCCCTTTCCTGTACTATGTTAGAAATAAATTAATGTTAATGTAATGTTTTAAGTATATGCTGTCCTGAGTTGTTATGACCGAAGAATACCATGTAAATGAGAGCGAAAAGTCATTAGAAATGTGAGACTCAAATCACTCTTTTAGGCTTCTCGTGTTTTTAGAGTCAGGATTCCTCTAGACCGATGGTTCTCAACCTTCCTAACGCTGTGACCCTTTAATACAGCTCCTTATACTGTGCTGACCCCAACCATGAAATTCTTTCACTGCTGCTTCATAACTGTAATTTTGCTACTGTTGTGAAATAATATGGATACCTGGTATGCAACCTCTGTGAAAGTGTTGTTGGACCTCTGAAGGGGTCTTGACCCACAGGTTGAGAACTGCTGTTCTAGGGGCAGGTGACAGCACCATTTCAATTTGGCTTAATATTTTTACTTGGTCGATGCCAAATGCCTAGGGTTGTTTGGCCACTTAAGGTCCAGCACAGTTGGAGCTGTGACTCAGATATTAGACATCTCTTTTCTAGCTTTGGCTGCATGTTCAGACAGATTGGTTTCATATGATATAAATCATTACAAGGTATTGTCACCTGAGTCCTAGAAAGAAACAGCCCCCTTTTGCCAATACTTGCCATTAAAGTCTCAGAACCATTCTTCCATGGGACAATTTGAGTCACTTGCTAGTTATCCCTGATGCTTTTTGAGGTTTACCCTCAAAACCAAAATGCACTTACATGGTAGAACCAAATAAATATCAATATTTGATTGTAACATTTTATTTTTTCAAAACTGTTGGAATTAGTTTTTATGTTTTCATTTTTTAGGTTTCCAGAAGATAGATACCTAAAATTCCTTAATATTCAGGAAATGGTAGAAACAAATGAAAAATGGAGTTGGAGCAATAAAAAGAGTTGGTAGTTTTTGAAAAGTGCATCTGTGGGCTTTAACTTGTTTCAGCCTTCTGGTATAAGGTGTTACAAAACTGTTTCAGTGAGGCTTGTAAATTAATGTGGTAGAAAGATTTAGTGAGCTACAGATTACCCATAATGAATTTGAGAGCTTTTGTTACCCCTCACTCTGGCTTTAAGCATGGCCTTGCTTTTTGGTGAGCTCAAAGGCAGTTTCCTCTTGCTGTTCTGAATTTCCATCTGCAGTCACAAGGAAGTGCAACACCAGTTATGATCCTTCTCCTGGCAGCCATGCTCCCCTGCCCCCGCCCCCGGGAGAACAGCCTGGGAAGGAGAGGGCACATCCAGGAAAGACAGAATTTTCTCACAGGACTGGATCCTTTTGTTAAATCAAAATGGATTCTCCACACCAAACAGGATTTCATCTCTGTAGTCGTGGTTCAAAGGCCCAGCCAGTGCTGATCACTGGGATTTGGTTCATTTCTTCTTAAAGTAAAAGGGAAGGATTGCTTTATTCTGAAGAGTATTACATTTATGGTATCAAAGGCCATTTCAGTTCAGTGCCTGGGAGACAGATACCCTACAAACTGTGGGTCTGATCATAAGTTATTCCAGTCAAATGATCTTTCGGCTTTCACCAAAGCCTGTCTTCCTGTTGCCTGGTCAGACTCAAGTTGATGGAACATTGCTGCTTTCCAGTCCTAAAGGTTATGCTTCACAGTTAACTTCGTAACTGGACACCTATGATAGAACTGAGCCTTTTGTTTAGTGAAGACCAGGTTTGCAACATTTTGCTTTCTAAATTTTATTTGAAAAAAAAACAAAGAATGCATATATATTGCTCTTGGCTCTTATACCAGGTTCTACATTTTCTTACCGAGTTCAGAAAGAAAGACTGTTTTCCAAACTAAAAGATACAACACAGTTTCCAGAATGAAGCCTTAAGAATGCTGTAGCATGTGCAAGTAGGAGTTTCATATGAAGATTTTCTTCAGATAGGTGAGATTTCCTTTAAGGTCAAAGGAAAAAAACACAATGGGATTCTGCAGACGTGTGTGTGTGTGTGTGTGTGTGTGTGTGTGTGTGTGTGTGTGTGTGCAGCCTCAAACACTAATTGGTTTTTTTCTCAAGAAGTAATTTATATGCTGTTCCCCACACTTGCTTATGGAGACAGATGACCGTGTATGCAATTCGGCAGGCATTCTCGGAGTGCCAGTGGTGTGCGAAACCAGGGTGTGCGAAACCAGGCCTCTGATGCACAGCAGCCAGCAGCACGCACCTTTTCTCACTTCTGCCTCTAGCTACTAAGCAGGCTTACTGGAAATGGCAGCTTTGACTCTTCCTTCTATGTGTTTACTTTTGTCCTGTAATCAGAAGGTAGATAATAAAACCTACACACACACACTGCACACACACACATACACGAAATTAATGAATGAGAGAACTTCAAACAAATGATTGGAGGGTATACTTCAAATTGAATGTGTGAGAGAGCTGTTGGGTATTGTGACTGTGGGTGGCTGGAAACCCCTGCACTGTTTGTTTATTTACAGTTAGACGAAGATTCCCTAAGGCTCAGAATGCTCTTTGAGAATGCTGCTAACCTGAGAGATCGTTGAACCTGAAAACAATTGAGTAGAGCTTTAAGGATGGAGAAAGTAGAAACAACAAATATAGAGACTGTATTTTTAAAAAATCCCTCTCAAAAAGAAGCATTTCCAAATGGTCTTTCCTAGCAGACTTATTGCAGATTAAGTCAGAGGCCCATGCTGTCTTCCACCCCATGTCAGACGTCAGAGACAGCGGCATAAGCCATCAATTCTCTATGTGCGCTCCCTCCACTGAGCCACCCTTCCTTACCCTGCTCTTGCCATGACAACTGACCTCTTAAGACTTTCAGCTGGTTCTGGCTCAATAATCAGCCCTGTCTCCGCTCCAGAGCACCAGTGTTTCCTGGGAACACTCTTCCATCTTCTTCCCAAGGCCAGGAGGTCTGTCAGTCTATGGGCTCTCAGCATCTGCTAATGAACTCTGACCCTGCCAACAACTGTTTGGTAAAATCTCTCCGTTTTACAAGAGTTTAGTTCCTTTCTTCCCATGATCCCACAAACCTGCATCAGCATAAAATCTTGTGTCCTGAGAACTAATACATCTAATATACTTTATTCTTTTGTAGAACCATTAATTGTCTAATTATAGAAAAAATAGCTATGGATTAAATGCTGACTTAGTACAAATTTAAATTAGCTACATGACATTACCAAAGCTATATACTTCGAATTAACAAACGAAGCTTATACAGTTTTTTTAATATTAAAGTGAAAATATTAAAAAATATTTCTTAAATTGGCCAGTGCTAAATCCCATAGCAAAGCTTGTGTGTCCTCATAGCACAGACAGGTATTAATGCCTTGGGAAGCCATTAAAGCTATCTTGAGTATTTGAATTATGAAGATCTTACCAAAATATATTCATTGTTGGAAAAGCATAACAACTCTGGTTCAGTTTTTAAGCTTGTAAACTTTTATCTGTGCCTAGTTTAAAAAATAAGGATTTTATTGTTATTGCATAAAATAGGTGATGATTTATATTTTAAAGTAACATATTGGAAGCAAGCCACCACACAATATACTTCAATATTTAGATACTTATGAGGGAATCCTTTTCATCAGCCATTTAACTTAACTGTGCATTTTATAACTACTGCTTACATTGCTTGAGGTTAGTTTTTGTGCAAACCAAAAACACAAAACCATTGGAAAGTAACCTTTGGCAAATGAACTATCTAAACACAACCATGAAAGCTAGTACAAATTCAGCTCCTGTTCCCAGACTAGAAGAACAAGCTGTCTGAATTCCTAATATTGACTTGTAATGACTGTAAATAAGTATGGATGTGTTACAATGTATCTCATTTTCATGCCACATTAAAATACTTCCTGAATGTTTTTCTAACCTACTCAATTACTATGAAATTGGTGCCTCCAATATGTAATGCCCCAACATTATCAAGATGTTAAGGTTGTATTGAGATAAGGTTTCTATGGCCTTTTTAGACAAAAATCAAAACTTTAGGGTGCCTGAACCTTAATTCTTACTGATAGCTCTGGAGTGTGCATGGTCAGAGTGCCCTGCACAGTGGCTTCTCTGTGGTGATTCCAGAAGCAGGATGTGAGAAAGAGCAGAGTCTCCTTCCTGTGCCCACTAGGCTGACATCTGATCAGTCATCACCTCTCTGCAATGAGTAGCAGATATTTGCCTAAGAGGTTGACTGTGAAGAGGGAATGAAAGAATCCACGCTGTTGGCTAGCCATAGCTAAGAGCTGTCCCCCACCAACCCCAGAACCCCAAGTTCATCTCCACTGTACCATGCTTGCTCCATACCTCCTAAATCACTCTTGGCCAGATTTTTTCCTTGAAAGTCCAGACAATGCCTTTCTTTAGTATTAATACATAGAAAGTCTTTGACCTTCAAATTGAAAACAAAGACTACCTGTGTACTTAGTAACAATGTGTACATAACTGGCAGTTTCACAAACAGTTTCACAAACACTATAAATCCTCGTTTTCTGTGTGTATTCAACCAATGTGTATTGACTACCCTCCACATAACATATTATTTACCTCGAGGTCGGGACATTTGTTAGTAAATAAGCCCAGTGTATTAGGAAGTATCTGATTTTTGTAGCAGTCATGTTTTCTTCTTGCATTATCCCTGGCACAAATTGTTACTTGTTCCACATCCTGCACATCAGACTGACCACGGAATCTAGGCTGCTACACAATTATGACAGCTATATTATTTTTTTAGTTAAAGCATCCTTGAAGAGATACTTTACAAGCCAAGATTTGGCTGTTTTGTAGATGATGACATTTAATTTTTTTGCCATTTCTAACTGAGGGTTTAATTGGAAAATCAGCATTATAAATTTTATGTTGTCATTTCTATTTTTAAGTTTAAGCAATTTCAAGGATTGGGTCTGGCTGCCTGCAAACTAAAGATGAAGGTAACTGATTTTGGGTTTGTACATTCTGCCATTTTAGAGTGGTTTCCTGGGCTATGGGAAGTATAATTTTATAAATTTGATTAAGAAAGGAATGCGGTACCTCTGTTTAAGGTCAGGAACAGAATGTATAGGGACTGCTGCTCTGGTTCAGCCTTCCCTCATCCCTGATTATATTCAGTCAGGGAACCACACCTTGCCTATCTGACCTCTCAGCTTCCATATGAGACCTCATGTTCATTACGTATATGTGACCTTCCATGTCGCATTGCCATGGCCACTTCATGGAATTGTTTTCCCTTCTTACAGATGGACCCTCTTGGCCTTGTCCCCTCCATGAGTGTGGAAGGGAGGCTTTGACATTATGCTTGTGTAGACATAGAGCTTGCCGTATTATGCTGGAAGTGTGGTTCTTTAAATAGATAATCTCCCAAGGAAATTGCCCACAATGCTGAGTGCACCTTGTAAAAGGTGAGGCTAGAATATAGGGTGCATTCTCAGCATTGCCCAGAAGCTGAGTGCAGTCTCTGGAGTAGCTAAACCAAATTTATAGCAGTTCATTAGTGTGAGGGATCATGGGAACAGCGGATTGCCATCATCGTGGCAGAGACGAAGAGCTCAGACAAAGCTCACAAAATGGAGCTCTGTGGAGGGTTCTCCCTTATTCTATAGAAACCCACATGCCTGTTTTGAGCCCAGTTTTCTTTAGAGCATATGTCTTGCAGAGCAACCAAAAGGATGTTTATATCCTAGTCACTTGGCACAAAGTCTGACACTGCTTCAGGGAGATTCATTTCAGACCTAAAGGATGGAGCTAAAAAATAGATGAGGTTTGTTTGGTAGTCACAAGAACTGGCCCTACTGCAAATTTAGTTTTTCTCTTTTCTTACTAGATGGAGCTACATTTGTTTTTTGCTAGAAGATAAATAGGGAGGCCTAAATCAGTTTGGTTAGTCTCACTCTTTCTAAATGAAAATAGGTTTGCTGTTGTCCGAGGAGATGAGGACTATTTGGAACTCTTAATGATTGGCATTGCCCACAGAATTGCTTCAGCTGTGTCAAATTGCCCTATGTTCCTCACACAATTTCCAAATGATTGCCCATGAAGGAAGTATACTTGATGTTAGTGAGGGTAACAAGATGCATTAAATACGGTATTTCTGTTAGTGTTTCTGGAAGAACACTGGTAGGGTAGGTATCAACCCAGGTCTCCTGGATTAGGATTGTATCCTTTAGCCTTTTTTTGTAACTCTGTATCTGTCCAGCCTGTAAACCTCAGTTAACGTGTGTTTTAATACTGTTTCCTTTGATGCCTTAGGGAGAGGGTTTCCTTTTAGTAGTTTTGGAATTCGCGTAATGTCCGCTGGTAATATCTAGGCATTTCTCTATCCCTTTCAGCCTTGCAAACCACACACGAGGATGCTCGTGGAAGTGCTCTCAGGCCCTTGTTTGCTTTCACCAATAAATCATTCATAATTAGGAGAGATCTTTTCTTCGCAGTACAAGCATCTCTTTGAAAAGCAGTTCTCTTTTGTGGATGATGTTTAACATCTGAAGAACTAGGATAACCTTTTTCATGAGCACTGCTCTAGCCAAAGCATTATTTTGTGGGGTGAACTCAAGGTTACATATTTTAAGCAAAGCATCCGAATTAATTCCACTGGGAAAATGATCCTGTCCACAAACTGTGGATGCATTGAAAAGACAGTCAGAGCCTACATAGGTACATTTTTTCCATGGAGAGACTTTAGTAGTGTATGTGAGAGTTGGCAAAACAGTGCAATTGCCTACATTTACAGAGGGCTAGCTACTGAAAACTAGCATCCCTTCCACAGGCAGACGCACAGTCACTCAACACAAGTCCTTCCGGCACTTACTAACACCAGTGTCTGGGTCCGTAAGCGTGGTGAGACTGAGGTAGTACTTGCACAGGGCTTTTGGTTTACAGAGGTGGGGTTATTGTCTCCTCCCTCTAAAGGCCTGTTCGCTGTCTCTTGCAGCACTGTCCCTTGTGAAAGTAGCCCTGGGTCAGACTCAAGTCTTGGCTGGCTCTGACTTACTCTTAAATGTGATACCTTTTTCTTCTAAGCAATGACATTGAATTTGAAATTCTTTTCTTGTTATTATTTTTAGATGGGGTCTTACTATGTAGCCCTGGCTGTCCTGGAAATCACTCTGTAGACAAAGCTGACCTTAAACTTTGCCTCCTGAGTGCTGGTACTAAAGGTATATGTTGCTACACCCAGCTTTATTTGAAAATTCTTAAAGATCATAAATCCCTCTGTTTCCTTCTCATTTGTCCCTATTATATGTCACTGACAGAGACAGATTATTGGCTAACCTTACAGTCATTTCTACAGCTGTGACTTGACAATTATAATTTTGGGGAGGGCAGGGGACCTGGGGAGATGGCTCAGTTGGCAAAGTGCCTACCTTGCAAGCAAAAAGAGCTGACTTAAAATCCCAAAACACAGGTTAAAAATCAAGCAAGCAAACAAGAAACAACCAGGCTTGGAGGTTCACATTGAGGAGGTGGAGACAGTAGGGTCCCTGGAACTCGCTGGCCAGCCAACCTACAATACTTGGAAAGTTCCAAGTACACACATAGACACACACACACACACACACACACAGGCACACACACACACACACCTCTCTCTCGTTACTAATCTTGCACTACTTTTAATAGCTCAGCTTTAATCTCTTCCTGCCAGAAGCTTTGATCTGGCTACATGTAATGAGAGCGAATTTGCTTTTCTAGTAGTTAAATCCTTCCTGTTTCACGTAGAGGAAGTCTGCTTACTTCATACCAGGCTAAATGGTAGTGCCTAGTGATGGATATGATAATTTACCAATACATACCTGTGAAGGCATATTAGTAACAAAATGAAAAGTAACTTCGTTAAACTGAAACTCGTTGTCTCGCTCAGTGTGCAAAGTGAGCAGCTGAGTTTAAATATTTGCATCGCTCTTCCCAATTGGAGATTTAACATGGTTTGACAAGTTAGTTGTTTTCCTGCCATTTTAAAGATTTAGCATCTCTACGTTCCCTTTTGTTGGGATGCGCTACTGTTTTTCCCATGGCTCCTCCTCTTCACCCACCCACCACAACTTTTGTGCCTTTTAATATCTTTTCTATAGTGACAAGGTTATGAACTTGACAATTCTTGAGATACCACCTCCCAAGAGCTTTATTTTATAAATTCCAACTCCATCTTCCTGAAAGCATTCCAAGAATATGCGTTCCCTTGTGCAGTATGCAGGACTGGCATTTTAAAAGTGTTCTATGACCACTGTACACACAGCAGTGGGTCATACACAAGATGCTTACAGAATTGCTTTAATTATGTTTTATCTCTTGTTTTGTTTTTAAAAACTCATCTGGAGCCAGTAATGTTACACTTTCAGTCCCAGAACTTGGAAGACTCTGGCAGGTGGATGACAAGTTTGAAGCCAGACTGTACTACACAAACCCTATCTCAGGAGCTCAACGACTAGAGATGTAGCTCAGTGACAGCCTGCAGAGGGCCTTGGGTTTGGTCAGCAGCACTGCCACCAAAGCAAACAAAATGCATTTATCCCACTTTCATGTATGGCAGGCACTGTAGCCTAGAAGGATGTCCCTGGGAAGCAACCTCATGTGTTATGTGTGTAGTGTGGGTGCATATATGTGTGAGTGTTTGCATGTGTGTGTACAGGTTTACGTGTGTGGAGATCCAAGGTTGATGGTGGAAATCTTCATTTATTGTTCTCGACCGTATTCATTGAGACAGAATCTCATTTAAAACCAGAGGTCACCATTAAGGCTGTTCTGACTAGCCAACTAGCTCTGGGGAGCCTATCTCCATCTTCCAGGAGCTGGAATTACAGGTGAGCCACCACTTCCACCTGGCACTTACCTGGGCTCTGGAGATCTGAACTCCAGTCCTCGCACTTGAAGGGCAGGTACTTTAAGTTCCATGAGTATACTTTTCACAATAGTCAGTGTCATCACTTTCTTGTCTCTGTTTAATTTCTAGCTTAGGTTGCTGTTTATTTTGCCTATATCAAGTCACTTATTTAGTGAACTAATAGTAAGATGAAAAGAAAATGGCAAAAACGTCTTTGTATACTTAAACCACATGGTTTGGAAATATATCTAAAGTAATACTGCTTTTTCTCCCACTCGGTGTTTCTTTGCCATACAAAATTGATTTTTCTATGAATTCTGAACAAACAGACACAAAATTGTAGTGTCTCTTGGATTTAATATACCTTGAAAATGCAGCCAGCATACCAGTTTTAACTTCACTAGTTTTGGCTTCTCTACAGAATATAAAGGAAACTTTGTCAACCAAAAAAATCTGGAATCTGGTGATTCAGATGCCATTAGAAATAAATAATTGAGAGCTAGAACTAAATGTTAGGCCTCATGGCAGCTTGCCATACACTAAGCAAGTGTTCCTAATCAGATTGAGTACTCCCTATGTGAGCAGAAGAAGCCACCGTGTTTGCATTGATAAAACTGGGTTAAAGCTATCCAAAGGGGCTCCAGACTCTTGCAGCCAGCAGAGATTTCTTCAGTGCATTAAATACCCACACCATACTCTATATTTTACTTACAGATTTTAGTAGCTAATGCAATAAGTACCATACTTAATTCTCTACATGCATTATTTCAATTAATTGTAGGAATAATCTTATGAACTAAGTATATTTATCTCATTTTGCAGATGAGGAAATGAAGAACAAATAGTTTGTCTTGCATCCCATGGGATGTGTTGAGTAGACATTCCAGTGTGTCCTGACTTTGGAGGCTGTATTTATGGCTAGTCACAACACACAAGCCCAGCTGTGCCCACATAAGCTTTCCTGCCAACCTCACAATACACTTAGGATAGGTTGTATTATCTCTATTACAAATGGCAAAACTAAGCTCTAGAGGCTTCCAGAGGCCCACCCAAAGTTGTAGGCTAGTGAGTGGTGCACTAGGACCATCTGGTCTTGACAGTATGTGGAGAGGTCATTCTTCCCAACCAATAACACCACTGTTTTCCTGTGGTCTGGAGGTGCTGTCTCTGGTTTGGAGAGCACTCCCTGGATCTTCTCGGATGAGTGTCTTCTCCTCACCATGTACCGCTGCAGCAGGGGTGGAGTATAACGCCTCCATGCATGGCCTGTCTTTGTTCTCATTCCCACCTTAGGCTACAATAGTGAAGGCTGGCAAGGTGGAAAACAAAGGATTTGTCTTGTTCATCATTGCCTTCCCCTTCTCTGACCTCTGTACATCAAGCACACGCCTTCCAGACCCTTTAGTTCATTAGTACCTTGTGTTCTAAAGTGCCTCCCCACCATAAAAATAGAAAATGATCTGTGAGTCATTTACACTTTAGCTTGAATGTGCTTTCGTGACTTTCCCAAGGCTATTTGTGCTTAACTCCTTTCTTCCAACTGCAGAGTGAAGGACTCTGGACTATCCTGGCTCCTTAGACAAGAAGAACAAGCTAGGAATCATTGGCCTACACGTCAGACACTGGAGACCCATTGCCTGTAAATGCTTGCACTTCAATTGATGTAGACCTTGCATTCAGAGCATCCTATGCTGTTCAGTGGACTCTCAGCCTTCCTCTGCCTCTGTTTAAGTCAGGTGAAATCTTGCTCTTCTCTTTCCAATTTTTCTGAGAACAGTTTTCATCTTCCTAATGATCACATCTTGTATCGCATTTTTCCTGTCCTGTAGCATGGTATGGTGACCTGGCTTTCCCCAGGAACAGCTGCAGGCTTAAAGTATAGCCCTTCTGCCATCTGCAACCACCTGGTACTCAGAGAATCCGGATGTGACTGTCTGGCACTCCCACTAAAGTTCGTATAGTCAGTCAGCGTGTGTGTGTGTGTGTGTGTGTGTGTGTGTGTGTGTGTGTGTGTGTGTGTGTGTGTGTGTGTGTGATCACGTGCTCCATGAATGTGGAATAGGAAGCACTTGTAATATCAGTATTAGTTAACTTTCTCAGTTGCTGGGACAAAATGTCTGACATAAACAACTTAAAGGGAGAAAAGATTTGCTTAGCTCATAGCTTCAAAGGTTTCAGTCTACCAGGCACAGAGCATAGGGAACAGTGGCATCATGGTGGACAAAAGGCAGAGAAAGGAAGAGAAAACATGTACCCCTAATGATCTACTTCTTGTAGGCCCTGTCTCCCACCTATAGGACTAGTGACATCATCCGGGGACCCATCAGCTGGTGGGTGTCATTTCCTCTCAATTCCAGTGTGTTTATAGTGGGTCATCAGGCTTCCTTTAATTTTACAAAAGTCTTTCAGACAAGATCTAGAGACTAGAGATGGGCGTTCCAGGAGCCCATGGATTGAAAGGTTTGAAGACTGTGGACAGTTCCTGTGTGTTTCCTCCAGGTGTGGAGGTGGTAGGGGCAGGGCAGAGAGCCTGCTGTGCAAGACCGCCCTCAGTGAGGAGGATTCTGCAGCAGCCCACTGGGAAGAATTAGTCTTCGAGTCTCCTGAACAGTCCATCACTGCAGGTGCTGCTGGAGCCGGGAATAACTAGCAACTAAAAAGGAAGAAATGTACCAGCAGTTCATTTGGCTAAACACAAGAGGCCTGCACTCATTGGTGGGAACTGCTTATTATTAGTGCTGATTACAGTGCTGCCTAATAATGATTATGCATGTCATTAAATATGTGTCAGATTAACTTTGTCATAAAATTTATGTCAGTAAGTTTGACTCACATATGCAGCCTTCATAATTTATTGCTCATGTAGCATAGTTTATGATTTTAAAAACAGTTATGAATGAGAAACGTTCACCATACATGACAGTTGTCATCAACTCTGCCTCTAACGACAAGACACTTTGACTTGTCTAGTCAGGTAGCTCAGAGATTGTTCCCTCTCTCTCTCTTGTCAAGTATAATTGACTATTCAACTGACTCTCATATGAACTAGTCATATGGCTTGCATTGTGCCAGGTGCTGTGAGTTTAGATGCGGATTTGAGCCTGATTCTGCCCTTGCAGCTTGTGGTCTAGCAGAGAATCACACTTATTTTATAGATGATTGTTAAAGAATGATGTGAACATAAGACAGATGTGGTAGTGCACACCTGTAATCCCAGCATCTTATTACTTCACAGTCTAAGGCAAAAAGATTATGAATTTGAGCTTATGTAGTGAAAGGCTGTCTCAAACAAATAAAAAGCAGAATGAAGCAAAAGTAAGTAAATGACTTACATCTTGTTTCCCTAGGTGTGGAGGAATAAAACAGATGTTATTTGGTATCCAGATTAATATCTGTAAAGTAACCAGTTATTTTGTTTTCAAAAATGAGTAGCATCATGGTGCATTTACTACATGGCGTTAGTTTTTGTGCTGAGAGCTTCCTAAGTCACTTACAGGTAAAGTCTAAGGGCTTCCTTTTGCTGAGTGCATAATGATGTCACCTTTTGAAGTCGAGTTTAAGATGTCATCAGAGACGTCACAGAAAGCTAACCAAATCTTCACTCCTGCAAGAAAGGCAAATACTCTCCAGAATAAGGCTTAGCATTCACACAGACCCAGGCAGATACATGATTCAAGTTTACAAGTTCACATGAAAAGAATACATTGGGAAGCTCCGTTCAGAATTGAGCTTAGAAAGCTGAAGATACAGCGAGGCCTTTAGTTCCGTGTTCATGGCCATGAAAGAAGAGGAGAGTGAAGTTTGGCAGAAAAAGTCAAGGCCAAGATGGGGATAGAGCAAGTCAAAGGCTAAGGCAAGGGCTAGTGAGACCTGAGTCTCTGGGGAGGCCGACTGTGGGTAACCTAGGTAAACTAAACCAAGTCACATAGAGACCTAACCATAAAAGGATTCGTGTGAAAATCATTTAAAGGGCCTATCCACCATATTCCTGGCTGCCAACCTAGGGAACATGCAGTTTGGGGCTGAGATGAACCCAGTGTACATAAAATGGCAGGCATGGTTTGAAGGGACTTAATCCCTGGTTCTGAGTGGAGCAATAGTCAGAGACAAATACCAGCTTCAACAAACCAGTGTCTCAGTACTTCCCTGGCATTAGAAAGGACCTGGGTGTGCCTGAAGTCGGCCCCCTTTTCCCGCTTGTGCAAACTGCTCAGTATTCCTTTATTCCTGACATTGCTCCACACACTCCATGCCAGGACTTCAGAAAACCTTGGGACTCTGTCACCACTCCCCCCTCAGCAGGTCATCAGGACACAGCACTCTTTCTCACCTTAGACCTGGACTTCAAGAGTCTCTGTCCTGCGTCACTGTCTTCGTCATCCAAAGTCTATTTTCTGAGCCCAGCTTGTTTCTTGGGTCGTACTTGGCACAGTCCCACCATCAGTTCTCACCTGTGCCCTCCTTCTGCCCAGATCACTGCCTCTCTGGAATTTTACAAATCCCAACAGCACTAAGCATACCTGTGTCTGAACTCCAAATGCCAAGATCCATTTGGATGTTTAACATGTTGGTTATAGCTGTTGATTTGTCATCTTTTTTTTTTTTGGTTTTTTTACGAGACAGGGTTTCTCTGTATTGTTTTGGAGGCTGTCGGTCCTGCCTGGTCTCGAACTCACAGAGATCCGCCTGCCTCTGCCTCCCGAGTGCTGGGATTAAAGGCGTGCGCCACCACCACCCGGCTGATTTGTCATCTTTCATAGCTTTGTAACACCTAGCATAGTAACTGAAGACACAAGAGAAGCTCAAACAATAGGATTAATTTTTAGCTGCAGTATTTTTTGGGATATCAGACTTGGTCTTCATATCCTTAGCTCCTAGCTGTATAACAGCTGTGGTTTATTTGAGATGGAAAACGAAGAAGGCTTTGGTATCCCAGAAGAGGTAGCCAGTCAGGAAGTCCTTTCAGAAGACCAACTTTGCCCACCCCTGGGTGATATTCTGCCATCCACTCATGAACCTGACACTCTGTCACTCTCCCTGGACAGTGACATGGGTTACCTTGTTGTCAGCAAACCCCAGTCAACATGGGCTCCGCACCTCCCTAAAATCATGCCAAGACTCAGGTCATCTGATGGTTGAGCCCAAACCCTGTCTGAGCCGGAACTGCAAGAAAGGTGAGAGAAAGAAGCTCTGGCTTCCGTGGGATCATTAGTCTCCACTTCACATCAGTACCCGTGAGGGCGGGAGGTCCTCAGACTCTGCTCAGTGCAGGGGCTGGGCCGTGCATAACGGTACTGGTGCACACGGAGGAAGCCACCTGGGGTCCTTTCACCTGGAAGGGCTGGGCTACAGTTGACACTGTCTCCAGAGAGAGAGAAGGCATGCCAATTGTCTACCAGACCTTCCTTTCAAGGTACCCAATCCCTAATTAAGATTGCCCTTTAACACATTTCTAGAGCTTAGAAGAGATAAAAGTGTAATGTTCAAATTAAATGGTGGACTGGATGAGGGAGAACCTATATAAAGGTGATGTTACCCAAGGGCGTGTAGACCGTGGGATACCATAACAGACTGGTACCACCTCAGAGTGGCCACTATGAGGCTCTAACCACAAGCCTCACTCTTGAGGCTTGACAATGATTTCAAAGGAAATCCTGGTTCACAGATCTGGACATGGGCTGTGGGGTGTGGAAGGGACTGTGTTAAGGGGGCACAGTCCCCAGGCAGCCCCCATAAGGAGTGGGTTGGCTGTATCTCTCCTTCACTTCCTGTGACCCTGCTGAGGACCCAACCCCTCCTGGATGTCCAGAGACCAGGGAGCCCATGCTGACAGCCCTACTGGTCAGGACTGAAGTAACAAGCATGCTGTCCACAGGAGAAAGCCACCGGGAAAATCAAACACAAGACAGACATGCCATACTGAGGCTTGTTGCTCTCTTTTATTCAGTGTGTCCTTTGGGGTATCACTTTAGATTCTCAGCACCCACAAGATCGGCACTCTTTTCCCTTTGTTTGCTATTAGAGCATTCTATTGTTTATCTCAGCAACCTGCATCATTAAAGGTTAACAAATATCAGCGAGGACATTTTTTTTTCTTTCCCAGAATTGTGAGAAAAGGGTGAGCTGTGTGGCCTGTGCAGGCACAGTGTCAAGAATCTTCCCAAATCTTAGTGCAGAAATCCCCTCTCCATCTGGTCTTACCCTGTAGCCTCCTGTTGTCACTCCACACCTCCTTATTAGTGCCTAGCCTTAGAACGGGGCAGACATAAGAACAGTCATTAAATAAACCACCCCATGGCATTGACAGAAGTCTGAGACCCACAAAAGACCCAATGACTCATGTGCTGTAACTCTGAGTCCTTTCGAAGTACTTAGTTACTTGTGCTTTAGAGATGAATGCTTGGGCACATTTCACCGTTTTCTTGTGGGGCATAATGTGTTCTTCACAGAGTATAGACACCAGCTATTTTCCCATAAACTAGTATAATTAATTACAATATCACATGAAAACTCTAGATAAAAGTTTTTGGCTTTCCTATTTAAAATGACATTAAAATAATCCTTATTTTAAAATAGCAGATAATTTTAAAAGTGCAAAGAGTAAGAGTGTGCCCCTTTAGCAGTGTGGCAGAAAAGAAATGGTTTTGATCCATGTGACCACCTGCTATGATACTGTGTCCTTGTGGTGCTCAGGTAGGTGCTGTCTCTCCATTTTTTCTAAAAATAGGGTCTTGAT